ACCATGCATACATGTACATCATATATTTGTATGTATGCATACTCGCAACGAGTACATACCTACCTAGGAACTAGTAGTAGACGTTTGTGCATTGGAAGAAGAGCGCCCGCCCTGTTAGGTGCTTCATACGTACAGTACCCAAGCAAGCTAGCACACACGGTACGACCATCTCTGACGAGAACATGCATATAGATATCCACTCTAGCATGTATGTACGACCATCAAATGTCATGGACCTTTTGAGGAAAAAATGACACTCGTACCCTGCTTGTGGTTTGGTTCATCTACGTACATTTTAATGTATGTCTATGTAATAATTGTCTGAGATTTCTTAGGGGTGAGATATTGGAATGACATCCGAGCAGCCCAAACCCAGAAACTTGCATAAGGTAAGATTCACATATATGTTGTGCATGCATGCACTCTTCATGTAAACAAAACAAGTAAATAATATAAAGCATGAACCGATTGTATGCAGCTGGGTTTGCAGTGATATACAAATGACTAATATGCATGACTATCGGATGCTCTAGCTAGGCATTTCGCTGGTGTGCATATATATAGCTCATCACAAGTGTACATCTTCCTTCCTCCCGTTGGCATGCGTTTACAGGAGCAGGATATTCTTCCTGAATCCAATTGCATTAGGTTTCGACAGTAGCTACGGGACTCTTGTAGGGTGATGGAGGAACCTTCAGTACATGCCATTAGGGAAAATTGTGGCAGAGCAAGCAGTTTCAGCGCTCTATCAGTCTAACGTCGGATGCTGGGCAACAAGGAAAACTCTTACGAGATCAACAACAGCACCGCTCCTAATGTTTCCCGAGGGTCACCAGTTTTACCCCATCAGGAACATTGTGGAGCAACAATTGGAATTCAAACAATTCAGTATTCCTTCGCACCAGGTAACATTGTAGGGATTCTAGGTGTGCTTGGGCAGGCAGTTAGGCACAAATAAGTGAACTATACTGAGGACCGGCTACTGAGCCATAATGCTACCCCTTTCCCTATGTTCTCTACTATCTAAAAAATAAGTGAGGTTACCTAGTGCGAGTTCCTCCTCGAGGGTTTTCACGTGGATCTTGCTGATATTTGTCCCTGTCTAATATCCCAGTCGTTCTCGAGCCTCTCCCACTTGCTGATTTGACAAAAACTTGAAGCTGGACATGTCGTGAAGTTCTGGGTCACACCATCGCTAGAACCATGGAAAGGTTGCACTCGACAACAGTACGATAGGAAATGAAGAGAGAAAACCAACCGGAGACTCGTAAAAGAAGTCAAACTTGTAGACTTCTCCACAGAACAGATTATATATTAAATTTCAAGGACTTCACTAGGGAGGCTCGGTCTGTCACGCGACATGCAATGGCATTTCATATCAACATTACAACGAATTGATTCGCCCTTGTCCACGACCAACCTCAATGCGATTGATAATGTGTTTTAATTAAATCAATTTTGTATACTACAGAGAATTAACCATATGCGTTTCTTTACATATATTGTTCTCTACTTCCCTCTATCAAAGCTAAACATGTGTTTCATTGTGAGACATGTGTCTGACGTCTGAATCATGCAATCTCTTCATGCACTGAGAGAATGTAAGGCATCATGTTGAATTAGAGGATATGTATAATTTTTTTCTCTAGTTGCAACACTGTGGCACGCTTATCAGTTCTAAGATAGAGAAAAATCATACTCTCCTTCTTGCACAACCAAACTGTTAGAGTATACACACATATATCTATATTTTGACAGAATATGATTTGCAATCATCTCGTATCTTTTCTCTGCAATCATCTCGATCGTATCCTTTCTCTAGCTAGGAGAAGCTTCTTGGCATCCAAATATTGTACCTATAACTACTGGAATCTGGGATTTCACCCGATTTAAGTGTTTGTCGAGTTCTTTGTATCGGGGACCTAGACAAACACCACCTTTGCCAAGTTTAATTCAATTTTGCATTGGGCTAAGAAATTTTTGCCGAGTTTGTTGTCTATTTGCACAGGACAAAAAATCTTTGTTGATTTCCTTTTTTGCACTCAGCTAATATTTATTTTATCTTTTCAAATTTTCTTGTCCCTTTACTTTGCCGAGTATGTTTTAATTCCACAAACAAAACATTTACTTTTATGTTTACTTTCCTCTCCTTTCTCTTATTTTTTTTCTGTTGTACATTATTTGTTTTCCTATTCCCTTTTTATGCTCTGCTTTTTTATTTTCTATTTCCCCCCATGTGTCCATTTTCGGCCACAGTCCACGGATTGTCGCCCGGCCAATCAAACGATGACAAGCGAAACACATCCTGTACACAGCGGGACACCTCGAGTCGGCACACCATCTTTCCGCCATATCGCTTTCACGGTGACAAATCCATCACTCTTTTTTTGATATCGACAAATCCATCACTCAGTACGTAGAAGCAAACTACCCAACGTTGCGATCAATTCAAGGGCTAGCTTCGTAGTACATGATAAATCAACTCAGCATACAGGGGGAGGTGCGTCCCTACTCCCTGGTTGATCTCGCGGCACACGTGGCGGGCCATCTTGGCGTTTTACTGGTGCTCCTTGTAACAAGGGAAGCTGGCTGGAAGCAAGCGGCGGCCTGGTACCAGTGCCATGTCTGGATGCCGAATGACTCTTTTCTTTGGTAAAGGGTAGAATTCTTAGGTTAAAATGAAGCACCAAGTGAATCCAAACATAATGAGCGCACGTGCCTCTGCATAGTTAGGATGCACACCATCAATGAAAACACACACACACACACACAATAAAGCCGACAAATAGCAAAGTCATATAATACCAAATCTGTGCCTTTGCTTGGAAAAAGGAAAAAAAAACTAAATCGGTGAAAAAAGTGATCCAAGTGGTCATTATCGGATATAGCGTTGATGGCTTCAAGTACAATCTCCATATGTTCTGGTCCGACAAATCAAGTTGGCACGAACGTAACAATTGCTTCGACGGAGATGCGCAGTCATATGACCATGGGTCCTTTGGTGATGCCATTGTGCACAATGGCTTGGCACACTGGATATTTCACAATTATGGAGAAGGGTGCCTTCGAGTCATTAATTTGAATGCTAAGACCGGCCATATCTCCTTGACGAAGCTGCCTTTCAAACTGAACAATCAACCCACTAGTCCTTGATGCCTTACATTAGGCATCAATGGGGTGTTATGCTATGGATGCAAAAGGAAGGTCCCCAGCTAGAGACCTGGGAGCAATGCGAGGACCAAGGAAACATGAATGGTACTTCAGAATGGCTATGTACTCGAACGATCGACCTAAAACAACTAGTAAAAAACAATGAAATGAGAGAACTACTTATCTTGAGAGAGAAATGCGGCACACTGCTCATCATTGACAACTATGGACAAGTTTACACAAACCGGTCTCGAAACGGGGATGATGGAGAAGATAGTGGATTGGCCTTCCAGGAGATCCATGTGCCACGGGGATTCCATGCCCCTGGAGATTGATTGGCTCACGATCTTCATTTCTGGTCTTACCGAATAAAGTTAAACATTCTGGTATATATGCATACTCCTTGTTTCTTTTTATTTTGCTATTTATGCTGGATAACTACTTATCGTTTTAATGGTTGGGTGTTCTTCCTCAACATGTAACATTTAACGGTTGGGTGTTAATCTTCTTTTTGGTATGTTTAGTGGCTCCCGCGTCCCCTCTCATCTCCTAGTGGCAAGACATCTCAAACAACGAAGAAGCGGGACAAGCAGCATGAAGGCTTAGACCCTTGGTGGCTCATAGAAGTAGGAGAAAAGCATCGTGTTGGCATAAGGACCTGGATTTTCCGAAGGAGAAGCACATGGACGTTGGGAGCTTTTTTTTTATGTATTTGCTAATTTTAGTAATTTGCCTATAATTTTCAGAAATCTGTCTCACCTAGAAGTGTATCTTGGTTTGCCTAAACTTGTACTTACTTCCCAAATCCTGCAACCTTTGTGATAGTTTAGATCGTAGTGTTCGGCAAAAGGTAAATCACAGGGTATACATAGATATTTCTGGCAACGTAGAAACATATAGGGCTAAAATACGTCATAGAGTTCCAGCTATCCCTAACCTTGGTCACGACAAGTAACTACACATCGTCGTTGTGAAAAATGTAATATTTTACCAACTGAATCCGTTATTTTTACACTAGTTTGTATGTACGAGGTGAGGTGGAGATGAGGATAGCTGAACGGTTTGAAGAGGTGTAGTTCACACACAAACTAATGATGGAGGAAATGATCTGTGTATATCTGCCCATTACTGCACACATACTATGTGCCCTCGTCAGTTTTTCGCCCCACTTGCAGACCCATATAGCCATATCTCTATATTGTGTCCCCAGTCTTTATCATTGATTGTAGCCTACAAGTAGAGTACGTGCTTCTCTCCTCTAATAGTCGAGATTCTTGGCAGGCAGAATTTCAAGAAAAGCTACCATTGCTCTAGTACAACTGTACAAATAATCACAAACTATTGATGCAACCACTGGGACGGAATTGGAAATCATTCAATTTATCCTACAAGATAGAAACATGAACTTTTTACGTACTTCATTTTAATAAAGTCAGAAGCAGCTAACCAGTTCAGATTCAGACACCACACCATTTCATTCAGTAAGGCACTCCGAAAGACTGTCCATCAGTAATCAACAAAAGAGCATGATCACATGTTGCCAAGTTATATGTTGGGTGATGGATGAGCACGAAGTAGGGTCACCAGATCGAAAACATATCCTGTGACACGGCTGGCCTGGAGGCTACCACTATAAAGGAACGGACGGAGTATGAAACATGGGAGGACAAATACATAAGTTGTAAATGACGAATCTTTAGTATAAAAACAAAAAACCTAGAGTAGCCCTAATAAAAACAAAAAAGATAAACAATCATGCTACTGGGTTGACACGAACAAATCCTAACGTGTATAGGATTCGTCCAGACATCCAAGTTGCACCTAGAACTAAAAAAGAGAGTGAGAAGATCTCATGTGGCTGCAACACCAAGCCGAAGAGCAAAGAAGGCCGGCCAGTCCACTTCCACAAGTACGGTATTTTGGCGGCAAAGGCTGATATTGTATGGCCATTGGGTCACCTCCTGCATCACCCCTGTCTTGACATCAGCAACATAGACAACCCGCAGCTTATCTATGATGAGCACAGTGCCGCTTTTCTCTCCCAAGCATTTATAGACACGTTGTTTTAACTTGAGTATTGAAGATTGAAAGAACATCTTGTTGTCGCACGACGTCCAGATCTGAACCCGGTGACCATCCTGCTCCAAGCAGAGCAACATGAGCTTCCCCTCGGTGTCAGCGGTAAGATATGGTTTGTCACGCAGCCCTAAAACGCAAAGAACACCAAAGACCCAAAGATTATCTATGCCGTTCAATTCTGTAATGGAGACGTGTCCAGTTTCAATGCTCAAATCAAGAGTGTAGATTGCAGCAGGCACTCCGAAGAAGAGCCAGTGCGCGGCGCCACCGCACACAACAGCTTCACGCTGCATAAATGCCACGCGGATGTTGTGATTTCCGGCCTTCAAGAGGTCACCGGAGCACCTGCTCCATCCTGTCTCGTCGGCCGATGATAATGTCTGCAGACTGTACTCCGTATAATAGCCGTGATTCTTGAGGATCGTAACAATCACCACCTTGAAGAAGAATGACCGCTGATGCTGGTGATCGTCCAAACTCCCACCGTCCTTATTAGTAAGTAGGGTGTATCCCATCATGTCCTCACCAGAATTATAGCCTAGAAGAGAAGGGAGTACGCGTAAGGTGCCAGCGAGCGGATCGCAGACGGCCAGGATGCCACCGCCCAGGTTGGTGTTGATGCGCAGCAGCAGAAGGCCATGGTGCGATACAAGCGGCACCGCGTATTCAAGGAAGCCGGCGACCCGGATGTCTGGCACGAGGGAGGTGAGACGACGGCGACGACGGCCCAGCGCCAACGGAACCGGGCCGGGCGACGGGATGAACCACGGCGTTGTATGCTGCCCGCGTGGCTGCAGCTGCGTGAAGAAGCCAGCAAAGACACCCACGCCCTCCATGCGGGCAACGAGGCGGCGCCACCCTTTGCACACCGCGGCGCAGCGGAAGAGCGAGGGCACGTCCTTTATCCGTGAGAGGATATCCATGACCACGTCGTCCGGCAACGAGTCCGCCATGTTTCTTTGGTGCGAGCAACTCGCCCGCTGTTGCAGGATGATCGATCTGGACCTCAATATATATCATAGAGGTTGATGCATGCGTATCTTGTTAATTATTAATATAATTATGAATTGTAGGATTGAGCTTGATTGGGTTGGATTCGATTAATAATTGCCTTCCTGATTTTCGATTCGTTCATCGTTGGGATTTGCCTTCGTGATTTTCGATTCCTTCATCGTTGGGATAGGCGCAGCGCAATAGTATTTATTTGTTACTACATTTAGATCAATTGGTTACGGCTAGACATCGTTAGGATTTCCCTATCTTGTGCCGAGAAAAAATGGATCGCTCCCTGCTTCCCCGCCCCACTCTCGGCCCCTCCGCCCCTTCTCTCCCCTGCCATTGCCGGCCAGAACCACATGGGCAAAGCCCTCGCACTGGTCGGCAGCGGCGGCGGCCCCTCGCATGGTCGGGTCGGCTCCGGCGGCACTCATTGGCTGGCTGGCACGACACCGGCGGCGCGGAACATGAAGGCGGATCAACACAGCTCTGGCGGTGCGGCGGCATGGGTCTGCCTTCAAGCGTTCCGTTGGTGCGGCGACGGGGATCTTTGCAGTCCCAATAGCCTTGTCCAAACGGTGTTCATCCCCACCGTGGTGCTTGTTTTGGTGGTGCTGACAGCCGGGGAAGCCATGGCCGCAGGCATCGTTGATCCGGTTCGGGTCAGCGTGCGTCTGATGAGTCTGGCATGCTTTGGCCGTAGTCGAGATCTCTAAAGGTGGAGATCTGGTGCACATGATGCTGGATGGAGGTTCGCCAAGCAGATCTGGGTGAAAACCCTACTCTCGGCTAGTTGCCAAGGCCGGCGATGGTGGTGTTCTCTTGCGTAGTACCGTTCTTGAAGGCATCGCCGTGGAGAAGCTCCAGACCTCTATGCGGTACCTCGGGGGGCTATTACGTGCGCGCGTTGCAGCGATCTTTTCGGACAACGTCAATTGGGGAAGTGACCAGAACTCCCTCGCATGATTAGGATGAGGATTAATTAGGCTCCCCCCCTGAAAATCAGGGACGGGGCTTGCCTGCTCCCCGGTCGTGCTCCCATCTATGCTCCCATCGAATCTAACGACGCACAGCCCGCGGCCTCCATTTCCCCCGAAAGAAAAAACCAGCCCCGTTGCCCCACCTCTCCATCCGTTTTTCTCTAATAAAAAACCAAGAAAATAGCAGGCGACCCATAGATTGGCAACACCGATCGATTGGGAGAAATCAGAAGCGCCTCTTCTACATGCTCTTCCGATGTGGAATAGATAAGAAGCCTTGGCCGGAGTTGGCTGGAGAGTTGCACCACGACGGGTGGAACCTTTATTGCGTAGCGAGATCGGTGTGGTCTTGTGTTCGCAGCACTGCACTGGAAGAGAGATGGAAGGGGACGGACATGTACATGACACAGATGTTGGGGTTTTAGGCGGCCCGGCAGTGCAAGGAAGATGGCGGCCAACTCCGGCAAGCAGTATACCAGCAGCTACCGCGCACGGAGCAGCTTGTGCCACATGGGTATGACAGCTTCCTACAGCCTGTTACATGGGTAGAAGCACGACCTCCCTGTTCTCCGTAGTCAAGCAGTCGCTGGCGGCTAGTGTGACGATGGTGGTGATCACGTAGACAGCACCGAGGCGGAGGGGCAACTGGCCTGGCCGTATGAACTGCATCGACGTGCTAAATTCCGGGCTGCATGCCGGGACAATCTTCCGTGAACCATCGGATAATAAGCAGGGCTGTCGGGTCCAGGGAGATGAAGCACGAGCCGTCTGGTTCTTGCTTCGTCTTTTTTTTCTATCGTTATTGCAGTTTAATTTAGGGGAAACGGATGGAGCGATGGTTGGTTTTTTCGTCTCGAAAGAAACAAAGTCCGCATGCTGTGCGCCGTTGGATTTGCTGGGAGCACGGATGGGAGTACGAGTCGGGAGCAGGCAAGCCCTGTCCAAAAATCAGGGGGATTAGTGTTTGTTTTGGTGGGCCCAACTTCCTTACCCAGCCCTCGCATGTATATGTGCAACAAGTCAGGGGTGGTTCTCTGATTAAAAAAAATCAGACTTGGTGGGCCTCTCCAGCGTCCTGTCGGCTGAGAACATCGCTTTGGATTTAATCGCGGGTTGGAGCGGCCGATCGCGAAGGAGTCTATTCCGTCCGGAGGAAACCCTAGATCAGTCGATCGATGAAGGCGGCACTCTTGTGTCGTTCTCTCCTTGGGGGAGTCATTTTTGGAGACATGCATTGGCTTGAGGGACGAGTGAATGGATTCAACGGTGGAGCGGCATTTCATGTGATGCATCAATGATATGCAGTCTCAGCAGCGTGATGCAGCAGGGTCTTGGCGACAGATGTGTGATGATGGACACATGTAGGGAGGTGGTGTTGTCTAGCACCATGGTGGCGTCGACGGCAAGCCTGGCAACGTCGATGCGTCATTATCTGCTCTGAAGATGGATCGGTGGAAGACGGTGGCGGCGGCGTCTGTAGGAAGCGCATGCAGTGACCATTAAGTGTGTGCCGGATTGGTGTGTGCCCCAGACATGACAATGCGGCATGGTTAAGGCCTCCAATTTTAGAAGTTGGGCTCTTGTTTGAGGTCTAGGTATGCGGCTCAAACAATCTGTGCCCCTTTACTAAATTGATAGAGTAGCGACAGACGTTGTCGAGATGGTGGCTTCAGACTTATTGATATATTACTTTGTAAGGTAACGTAACTAATTAATAAAATGGTTACATGCATCGCTCTGATGTAGAGGACCGGGGTCTTCCTCCTTTTCGAAGGAAAATGGCTAGACATGGTAGGGAGTAATGTGCCGAACATTTGGGCTCAGCACTCCACTTGTGCACTGTGCTATGTAGATAGCCAGGATTGATTTTATTTTATGAGCAGTTTTCGCATGGTCCCTTTTACCTCTGGCGGATAAGGGTATATATGAACTGCTGATTTGATTAAACCGGAACCAACTAATTACCATGTGTACATCAAGAAAGTTGCAACCGGTCACCTCTTACCTCGACCAGATAAAGGAAACACTCCTCAAATATTTCGTGCCATGGGGGGAAATCATGGGAAAAAAATTCTCGCAACTCTCGCATCACTGAAAAATCATCCAAATCGCCTTCTCCTTAACAAGAATAAATTTTTAAAATATGAAAGAAGTTAGCTTCAATCACATCGAACAGAAGTACTGGAAAATTATAAAATAATTGAAAAACCAAAAATAACTTAATACAAGGTTTTGAACGCACAACTTCACAAAATAGACAGTGTGCTAACGAGTACGACAGAAATCTAATTTATTTCATGATATATTGTGGAGTATAATGGGTAGAATATATATTTTTGGTATCACATTATTCTGCACCCGGGCGATATTCCAATATACTAAGGACGCTGATAAGTGCCACACATGTGGGCGTTAAGAGGTCTGCCCACACGTTTTGTGTGGTGTCTAAGAGGGCAAAATAACTAGCGTCCACACGCATCTTTTTTTCTCGCGGTCTTTCTCACACGCCTACATGTGGGCAAAATGCATAAGGTCCACACGACCTCTCTCAGCCATCTACCTCACGGTCTCGCGCGCCCCGCGTGACAATCACCACGCGTCCCAGCAGTTGCCATGGTCCAGACCCTCTTCAAAGTCCGTTTACCTGCAGTTGCCATGTCGATGAACTACAGTTGCCATGTCGGACAACTACAGTTGCCATGGTTGCTCAACTGCAGTTGCCATGTATGGTCTGGTCTGCTGCAATTGCCATGATTTCAAAATTTTAGTAGTTGCCACCTACTAACACTAGGCAGTGGCCATGTATGGTCTGGTCTACTAAAGTTGCCATGATTTCAAAAATTTAGGAGTTGTCACCTACTAACACTAGGTAGTTGCCATGTAACACTTTGAAAAAGGCATGGCAAAAAAACATATTCGGGTAAAAGAAAGAGTCACTACTAGGAGAATGGCTATAGATGAAATGGACATTAATGGGCGCCACTGCTATATAGTAGTGGCCCATCATATATAGGTACACCATTAAACTCCAAATACTAATGGCGCACCACATACACGATGCGCCACTACTAATATATTTTTTAAAAACTAGTAATGGCGCATCAGGGGATAGTGCGCCATTACTAGTTTAACTAGTAATGCCGCACCACACTCTCAGTGCGCCACTACTAACAATTTTTTTCTTTCAAAACTAGTAATGACGCACCACACCCTTGGTGCGCCACTATTAACAATTTTTTTATTTTTCAAAACTAGTAATGACGCACCACACCCTTGGTGTGCCACACTCTCAGTACTTCTTTCGGGTATGTATATCGCAGCTCCTTCGGCAGTCCCGGAGCTTCTGCGGTGAACTGTTTCCAAACCCTGCAAGACAAAGAAAATAATTATTATTATTTAAGATATCAGGAAATGAACAAAAAGTTGCCGATATGGTGCGATAATGATCGATTGAACGTACTTGCTGAGCATTTCAGTCATGTTCGCATAGGATTTGGGATCTTTCCGTCTCGAGTCTAAGACGGTTACTAGTCCACGCTCAAGCTTAATCTCCAGAAGAATATAGTGGTACCTGCGCACGCGTGCATAACTCATCAATTACATTACTATAACCACGCTCGAGTAATAAGGGAAACCGAATATGCACACGATAGTAACACTCACTTGCCGTTGTAAGGAAAGAGTATGGTATCTTTGTTTTGATTTTTTATCAATGATTGTAGCACGTTGTCCTCGGCCTCTTTGATGTCCTTTTTAACCAGAAATTCATCTATGATATTTGTGTTAATGAACCCAATATCATAAATTTCTTGTTTTTTGCACTCGACGATCTTCAATCTGCATAATATATTGAGGATAATTAATTATAAATACATGAAATGAAAGAGCCGAGCTATATATAGAGACTTAATGAAAGAAATAGTACTTACAGACAGTAGCAGAAGACCATTAGTTTATCGAGGGCCTTTTGATTGAAG